TCATTAAATGGATTTTTTTATTAACCCAGTATAATGTAGTTTACTTTCCAACCTGACTGTGGTATAGCATGACATGACAGGTGGCAGATGCTCCCCGCCATCTAAACTCAAGCAATTCATAATTAGAATTTTGACAAACAGGTTATACATACAACCATACAAAGATGATGGGTATGTGTAATGTGATTCAGTGCAATGTAGGACCAAGTGGGGGGGGAGGAAATGGTTGGAGCTTATGAAAGACTCCAGCTATGATAAGTGAGGCTCAGCATTAAGCCTTGTGATGATGTTTCTGAAGACAGAGGGTAAGTTATCTAGCCCTGGTTACCATTGTCCTGCATAATTTGTTCTGTCCAGAATTACTGTGTTTCCCCGAAAATAAGACCTACACCAAAAATAAGCCCTAGCAGGATTTCTATGCATTTGTTAAATATAAGCCCTACCCCAATAATAAGACCTAGTGATGGGCGTGGCTATGCAGCGTATCTGCATAGCCACACCATGCATTTCGGCGTGGAGCCTTAAGGAAGACTGCAATACCTTTTATCAGCCACAGCTCCTTTCTCTGAGCCTTTTGCACTTGTGTAGGTGCACGTGTGGTAACCACGGTTGGAGGCATCCTATTGCGCACGTGTGAACAGCTAGGGGAAAGGAGTTCATGTGTCACTAGTGCCAGCCCCACCAACAAGGTTGGCTCCCCCTGTCAGGTTCCAGAAGAAGATGACTTAACTGTATTTGAATACATGTAAATTGTTGTGTTACACTTAATAAAAATAAGACATCCCCTGAAAATAAGCCCTGGTGTGTCTTCTTGAGAAAAAATAAATACAAGAGAGTGTCTTATTTTTAGGGAAACACAGTAACCCCTCTCACTTGATTTCTGCTCACTTAGAGCCAAGAGGAAGAAAAGGCAAATTCAGCTTCCTTTCTGTTCCCTACAGAGCACAGGACTCCGTCTCCAGCCTGGCGTCCAGTAGGCCTGACCCTGCTGACTTTGTGCTTGGTGCTACTAATAGGCCTGGCAGTCTTGGGGTTTTTATGTAAGTCTACATTTTGGCTTGGGGGCAGATCCTGGTTCCAAAGTTTGTCTAGGATGAGAAACACTTGTTAGGAATTATTTTTCTTTTTTACTTCTGGAGCCTGCAGATAATTCATTGTATCTCTTTCTCTCTCTCTTTTTTTTAATGGCAGCTGTTTAAATGATGAATAGTGGAAGAAGCATTACAGTGTAATCACTTACCAACTAGAATTAAACATTCTGTTTGAAATTATACTGATTTTTGTCTCTTGATGTGTCAGTATTTAAAATAATCATTTAAAAATAAATACATGCTAAAGCCTTCTCCTATTGGCTGTGATTTATGCTGACAGTAGGCATGGCTCAAAAGGCTAGTGCAGAGGAAAGAGATTTTATTTATCTCATACCATCAACATCAGGAGAGTAGATAAACTTTTTAGTTACTGTGACATTTTTCCAAAAGGCTAGGATATTATAGAGACATTTTGCAAAATCCTGTGACAATCAAACAGGAAAGAATAAATTATATACAAATCTTTACATTTCAAGCTAGTAAAGACAAGTTCAAAGATGAAAATAGGCAGTAGATTAATTTGCCTCAGCAGGTGCAATCTTACAACAGTGCTTCCCAAACACTTGAAGAAGATAGTTCCAGGCAAAAATTCACATAGATGAACAGGTTTTAAT